CATCTTATATTGAGCATGAATCTGTGCCACGCTTGAATACACTTCCCCCGGCATACTTCTTCCGTTATCCGCTACATCTTATATTGAGCATGAATCTGTGCCACGCTTGAATACACTTCCCCCGGCATACTTCTTCCGTTATCCGCTACATCTTATATTGAGCATGAATCTGTGCCACGCTTGAATACACTTCCCCCGGCATACTTCTTCCGTTATCCGCTACATCTTATATTGAGCATGAATCTGTGCCACGCTTGAATACACTTCCCCCGGCATACTTCTTCCGTTATCCGCTACATCTTATATTGAGCATGAATCTGTGCCACGCTTGAATACAGTTCCCCGGCATACTTCTTCCGTTATCCGCTACATCTTATATTGAGCATGAATCTGTGCCACGCTTGAATACACTTCCCCGGCATACTTCTTCCGTTATCCGCTACATCTTATATTGAGCATGAATCTGTGCCACGCTTGAATACACTTCCCCCGGCATACTTCTTCCGTTATCCGCTACATCTTATATTGAGCATGAATCTGTGCCACGCTTGAATACACTTCCCCCGGCATACTTCTTCCGTTATCCGCTACATCTTATATTGAGCATGAATCTGTGCCACGCTTGAATACACTTCCCCGGCATACTTCTTCCGTTATCCGCTACATCTTATATTGAGCATGAATCTGTGCCACTGTGCCACAATTTGAATACACTTCCCCGGCATACTTCTTCCGTTATCCATCCTGGCATACTTCTTCCGTTATCCGCTACATCTTATATTGAGCATGAATCTGTGCCACGCTTGAATACACTTCCCCGGCATACTTCTCTTCGTTATCCGTTATCCGCTACATCTTATATTGAGCATGAATCTGTGCCACGCTTGAATACACTTCCCCGGCATACTTCTTCCGTTATCCGCTACATCTTATATTGAGCATGAATCTGTGCCACGCTTGAATACAGTTCCCCGGCATACTTCTTCCGTTATCCGCTACATCTTATATTGAGCATGAATCTGTGCCACGCTTGAATACACTTCCCCGGCATACTTCTTCCGTTATCCGCTACATCTTATATTGAGCATGAATCTGTGCCACGCTTGAATACACTTCCCCGGCATACTTCTTCCGTTATCCGCTACATCTTATATTGAGCATGAATCTGTGCCACACTTGAATACACTTCCCCGGCATACTTCTTCCGTTATCCGCTACATCTTATATTGAGCATGAATCTGTGCCACGCTTGAATACACTTCCCCGGCATACTTCTTCCGTTATCCGCTACATCTTATATTGAGCATGAATCTGTGCCACGCTTGAATACACTTCCCCGGCATACTTCTTCCGTTATCCGCTACATCTTATATTGAGCATGAATCTGTGCCACGCTTGTATACAATTCACCTGCGCTGCTTGCATGTTCCGCTCAAATGTAGCACTTATATGTCTTGTTTACCTGCGTTATTCATGTAGACACTTAATATTTTGCGTTGTGTTACTGACCTGTGCAGTTCAGCCCTGCCTATCTATTCCTTTTCATCAATGCCAGTTACCTGTTTTAAATCATATTGGTGCAGTTCATCAGTGTCTCTACACGATTAGTCTATGCCAGTCACATGTTCCGCTCACCTCTGTGTAGCGCTTAATTAACGGTAATTACCCATCACACGTAACATTATTAAACATAATTGTAGACTATTGTTACATGGCCTTTCAAAACTACAGTGACTTATAAACATAAATATTAAAATGTGTCACTGTCATAATAGCAATAACATACATCATGGTATCCCTTCCCATTGCAATGTAAATAACTCGATATACCTTGAACTTTTTAGATGCCTCACAAACGAAATAGCCACATGCACGGGAGATAACACTGCTGTACAGAGCGCCATCGGTACCTATGGCTGCGACGGTATGTATCTCTTTTAAAGATTCAGCTATCCTATTATGCCCCTGACAAACCAAACACCATTATGTTTCTTGGTTTGCAAAAGACTATATACCCGAGCTCATGGGCTTCAAGAAAGTGAATACTTTGGGCCCTCCTCAGCTATTAAGCTGACATCCTTGTACTACAATAGAAATACTGTACAAAGTGGTCATGGACTTTGTTCAAATTCACTTACTTCAGTGCAATTGGCTCGCTACTGATACAAAGAACACGGGCCATGACTCAGGTACTTGACTAGTAGTGAGATTAGTTTCACGCCGAACTCAGCAATATTCCAGCTATATGGCGGCGGTCTGTAGAAAATCGAGTCCAGACAATCCAGTGATCAACATCATGAGCATCGATCTAAACAATTAGCGTGTGTCAACCAGCCAGCGAGCCTGACTACTCAATCCCGTTAGTCGCCTCTTACGACAAGCATGGGTGGCTGAAGATCAATTCTAACTCGGATCTTCACGGGTGGTTTGATTAGTAGGATAACATTGTTATACCTACAAAATGTATTTTTTGTCTTTGATCAATGATGTTTTCTTCAAAACAAAAACATCTAGGTCTTCATATATTTGCAAATTGTGCAGTTACACCAGAGCAAATATGTTCACACGTTTTCACATTTTTTAACCAAATGTTCATGTCAATACCTACAACCTCTTTATAACATACAATATATTGTATTCAATACTACCCACACTTTGCTAAGGATCACAAAAATTCACAACCTTACTTAAACGTAGATTTATAATTTGAAATTGCATCCATTTAAAACTGGATAAATGATAATATGGTAAGCCTCATTAGGCAAATAGTCACTTTAAGCTAACCTTATGCACCTGATACACGAGTAACCATAAAAATGTTTTTCATGGCAGCAATCAACCATTTTCCAAATCTTGGAACGAGTCATTGACAAATAAACAACACATGTCAATAGCAGGTATGGGATCCACAAGATGCCATGACATACTGAAACATGGGATCCATGCTTACAATAAGCTTAGGTATTTTAACCAAATTTGACCTCACATAATAGATTTCTGTTGAATCCATGATTTGATCCTTAGCAAAGTGTGAATAGTATATATAGGTATATAACATTCTTCTTCATACGTCACTTACATGCAGAATTTATTAATTTTGAATGCTACATAGATAATTGCTTTTTGCATTCTGTGAATGTCAAAGTTCAGTTAACTTTTGTCTTCAAATGGACGTTGCGTTTGTGAAAATGCAAACTGTTTTAAAATTGTTCTTTTTTATTTCTTTCAGGATGTCGATTGTTCACATCCCTGCCTCTCATCATAGGGGCACTTCTGGTCCTGCTGGCCTCCCGTTACTGAAGGCGGGTGTAACGCCAGTGCTTCTACATATCGTAGCAGATGTCCCTTCACGATATAGATGACCTACGACTATCATGTTTGAGCAATCTCAATTTCTTTTGTACATTCTCTCACACAATCTCACGCCATATGTTATGATCTACAAGCAATTCCCAGGTTGTCCTATAGCTAAACCTAATACATTGTTGTATTTACGAATGTTGGAGAAGTTCATTACAGTCAATTAAATATTATTTAAACTATTGTTTTGTGTTTAAATTACATTTACAGATGGGAAGAGTGAGGGAACAGGTTTATATGAGCCACAGATCCATTTTGGAAGTTACGGAATGGCTTTTGAGCGCCATCTTCTTGGCTACACATTTATAGCCGTGTAAGTAGAGGTATACCGAACTTGTGTAAACCTAGTGTCATAATGATCAATGGATAGTACTTGCTTATGACATCATACTTGACCAAGTATATACCCATAGTCAGTATTTAGTAGTACTAATACGATCAATAAGAGTAATGATAATGCACTGACTTGAGACAAAGACAATCTGGCGCCCAGAGCTAAATACTCGAAACCAGGTCACGTTTGCTGTGACATTCCTTTCTTGGTCCTTTCAGTTAGTTGACTGGACAAAGCAAGACGTGCAGAGTCTTGACTAGAAGGACGATGTCTCCTTCCTCTCTCAGTAGTTCGATTAATGTTTAGGCTATCCATGATATAATTTTATTATTTCTCTGATGATTCTTTGGTGAGGCATGTCAAGATTCATGCTGAAAGCAAGGACGTCCATAGCTAGTTTCAGCACGCCAAGATTGTTGAACAGGATATCAATGTTGAAGCTGATTTTTTTATGGCGATGTACTAGTAAACGGAAAGCGATGGCTGTAAATCAGGGGATGCCATTCACCAAGTCGGTAATTTAAGGAGAAACATTTTGGGAAACCACTGCACGCACCATGTACATATCCAGAATAACAATCCAACAGACTACATTGCCAGGATGAAGTGAAACAGAGGGCTTCCTTATTGCGGGGACGTGGGGTAGCATAGTGGTTAAAGCATTCGCTCGTCACGCCGAAGACCGGGTTCGGTTCCACACATGGGTACTATGTGTGAAGCCCATTTCTGGTGTCCCCCGCCGTGATATTGCTGGATCATTGCTAAAGACGGCTTAAAACCCAACTCACTCACTTATTGCTTGCCGGGACCTGTGATTCTTACAGAGAATGTTTAACATGAAATATCCACTTTTTAATGAATTCACTGAGACTGTTCAACACCTTGTTCATGGATGTCCTTCCTTGGCACAAACAGCGTATCTTAAACGACACGAAGGCATGACGTTGTTTATATTACAATATATGACTGTGGCGTCGGCCGCGGGGTCCACCCATGGTGCGACAATGAACATGTCATGGGCGTCATGGAAAATAGACACTTTTAAAAATGGTTGGAACAGACCTATATACACCTAAAGAAAAATCCATGCCAACAAACCTCATCTTCTCCTTTTTGATAAAGCTAATGAAATTATTCATGCTTTTGAATTTTCTGTCCCGTTTAAAAGAAAGGTGATTCTGGGAAAGCATGCTAAATATGAGGACCTCATCTTTAATGTCTCACTTGCGTCCTACATGCACTGTCGTTAGATTCCTCATTGTTCTCGATGCCCTTGGTTTCGTAGTTCCTGATCTCTTGGAGCAGTTCAAGAGCATGACCGGGTCCTCCCCCGGGAGTACAGCTCTTTGCCCTCTGACTGGTAATGCTGAAGGCTGCAGTGTTGGGGCGTCTCCATTTGTTCCGGAACGTTCTCAGTTCGACACAGCAACGCTTCCTTTGTGATGTTCCATTCGCTGTCAGGGCTGCCCGCAGACGGGGCAACGGCCATGAGCTGAATCATGTGAATATGAATCAAACTAGCCTGACTGAGTGACATTAGTCAATATAGTTCCTATAGTTTATAAAAGGGAAGTCACTCTCGTCAATGAAACGCAGCTTTCCCATATAGACTTCCGTGACCGAAACATAAGGTCTCATTAACCTATTCGAACCAATGACCTACTTTTCAGCCGATTCGAATTTTGTCGTGCTGCTGACGTGTTTGCAGGGATTAGAAGGGCGTAGTTTCGCAATATGCAAGGTGATTAGATGTATCAAAATAATACTTGATAAAGACACTTCTTTACGTATCCAGTTCAAATTTAGAATTGATCTCAAAATTCTGGTACTGGGTCTTTGTACTAAAGTTGCGCAATAGGACGGAACCCAGTCACCAGGAAACGAGATCAAGTTATTGTAATCAATGTTTTGACTTGCGCGTTTGTGTGTGCTACGTCTCTCTCTCTCTCTCTCTCTCTCTCTCTCTCTGGGCAGACAGTCCAGGGATCAACAGCATGAGCATCGATCTACGCAGTTAGGATGCTCTTTTACAATGAGATGCTTATACATTTTTTTGCTTAACTTAATAATGTTTAATGTATAATATTACATGTCTTTCGGGAAATAAAATACTGTTTAAAATCAGATGCTTTTACATAAGTTCAGAAAACTAGAATTCTTATTGATCATAACAAACAAGCTAATATTTACAACCACAGTCAACTTAAGTCATTTTAGTATAAAAGCTAAATCGGTGGTATCTTTCAAACACGTTTCACATGTTGGCAAAATAGGCACTGAAACAAACGTCTCCTGGCGTTCTTTGTTACCACCAGGAATCTATTGCTTCGTGTGCCTGTTTTGCCGGCATGTCGAAACTTCTTATCGAAATAACACTGATATCGCTACGACATAACTCCTCGTAGTGGCAAACTGGGTCGAACATTGGTACTACGAGTATAGTCATCAGTGGCTTGATCAACGTGTTAAACATGTTATTCATCCACCCTGTTACAGAGCATTGACCAGACAATGTAGTTTTAATATTGTTTCTATGTTCAAAATTCTCAGCATGTCCCAGCTACGTTTAAGCATAAAACACTACTTGAATCACAAATAACTTCAAACTTTTGAACAAATTAACTCTTTGACGTGATCTGTGTATTCATTACCTCCACAGAATTTCTGCATTAAAATAGAATATTTCGTCCTCGTCAACAGTGACAATCCTGTTTCATGTCAAAGTAACCGAACCTTTCAGCATGATACATGTTTCAATAAGACATATTTGAAATTAGCGACTTGAGCGACTACTTGTTGGTAAAACGGAGCCTTAAGATTAATTAGTAACTAAGCGTATGGATGGTGGAAAAGGATGAGTCATTGGACTATGAATAATTTATTTTCCAAGAATTGTAAAAACAAAATAATGGCTTTACGGCTTAGATGACTAATTCATAAGGAAGCAGAGACAAACTAAATGTATTCGCATTTATCAAGCATGGTGACTGATCAGGTGATAAATGAAACTTTAACAGGAAGGTAAGGACTAATTGTGAATACTCTCAGAAGCATAAAGTGTAATATGAAACATATTTTCAACGTTTATAGATACTGTACAAAGAAACTTTAGATATTAGACTTCATAAGCACCTATTCGCTTTTGAAAGAACGTTCATTGATTTCAAAGTGGATATACAGGTACATAAGGATTTATATAGTATGACCAGAAATTATTGAATTTTGGGAATATGTTTAATTGGATTTCTAGTATAAACAACCTTGACCAGCTATCAAGTGCATGGTTTCATTCAAGAGAGACAACTCCGTTAATCCTTTTCATTAGTTTGTGAAGAGTTATCCCCTTTGTTTACTTGCTAGCAGACGACATTTTCAGTGATCCTCAGTATGGATGATTATGAGAAGAGGAAGTTGATTTTAGAGTATTAAAACAAGGACATCAGATCAGCTAAAAGTGATTTCAAGTAGAACAGGCATCCCTTTGTCCACTGTTTATCGTGTTTTTGAAAACTATTGCAAATGGATATGGCACTGAGCACCAGGGGAGGCGCAGGTAGGCCCAGAAAATTGACTGTTGGTGACAGGAGGCGGCTTGATATTCTTGTTTCTAAAAACAAACGAAGGAGTTTAGAAAACTTAAGGCTGTATATGATTGATAGAGGAACTGTGGCTGTCTATAAGGAGACAATTAGAACTGAGCTGCATGCAATGGGTTGGCAGAAAAGTCAAGGAATTCCATCTCCGATCATGAAACCAGAACAAAAGGAGCGAAGGTTGAACTGGTGCTTACAGCATAGAAATTATAACTACAGGACAATGTGATTTTCTCAGATGAAAGTTCTGTGTGGCTGTTTCCTAATACACTGAAATTCTGGACCAAACAAACTGAAAAACCTTTGTATCAGCGCCCAAAGTACAGTCCGAAATTTGGCGTGTGGGCTGGCATATCTATGTTAGGGGCAAGCCTCCTCTGTGTATTTGAAGGAATATGAACAGTGAGCGGTACACAGATATTCTCGAGGGACATTTACTTCCATCTGCTCACGTGTTCTATGGAAATGTTGGATTTTCCAGCAGGACAACGACCCAAAACATCGTTCAAAGCATTCACAGGCCTGGTTTCGGACCCAAAATATGACATTATGAGATTGGCCAAGCTATAGCCCTGATCTAAATCCAATAGAAAATGTTTGGGGACTTATGAAGGAAAGTGTCAATAAGAAAAATCTGACAAATATTGCTGAAATAAAAGAAGAGGTGGTCCGATATTGGGACAGCATGGACCACGACTTTCTAACTTCTTTGATCAGTAGTATGCCCCGCCGCATTGAAGCCTGCATTGCTGCCCATGGTGACTTGACAAAATACTAACTGTTCACCTGTCTTTGAATCTGGAGTTATGTTCTGCTAATATTCACATATAATACGTGTAGTAATGAGTGAATTTTTTAAATTTACAGTCTTAAATTCTCAAAAATATCTGGTTGTACTGTATGATTGAATCTACTACTGAGTAGCACTAACGTCTAGGTGTTAACATATGGATCATCTCCACTGACAGAGTTAGCATAGAAAGGCCCTTCACTGCTGGTTATGTGGCCGTAGTTATGTTCGTCACCAGCCTCGCTTGTATTAGGGCTGTATTCCATCGTAGACATTTGTTTCACCTCATGCTCAGCAGACGTTCCAGTATTCGATGAAGTGTCATGCTTCTTCCTGAAGGCTTCACCACCATGCTGCAGTGATAAACATTTGACAATGTACACAACTGATATGTTCAACAGCGGAAAGTACAACAAAATACCATAGTGGTGTTTGAAAAGCGACTTTTAGTGCATTGTAAAATTTTCCTTCTTTTTAGTTTGACTGTAACTTTTCCTAAATCTTAGTTTACAAACTTTCATCCATTCACAATGAATAACTAATTTGTAGGCAACACAACAATCAATTATAACTTTCACTTTTCCAAATAAGGTAACTTGTTTTTGGATAGAAAAACACCTGTTTTAAATATAGGCAATTATCCTAATTAAAATACTGAAACTGGTAATTTCAATGATGTTTTCGTTTTTGAAATGTTAAATGCTTGCTCTATCAAATTATAAAGGTTATTTCTTGGAAAGAGTTTAGAATTTCATTTCAGACAAAATTAATTGGTAAAAATACAGGGTGGTGCTTATTTTATGCACAGATGTATACATTTACTTAGTCTCTCTCTTCAGTACAAGGTGACAGGGCAAGCTCTTTACCAAGCGTGAAACTACAACGATCGCGAACGTTCTGTTGACTTTCAAACCCGCACCACTTTCCTAGTACTGACGGTATCTTTTTAAGGTGTTCCAGCCTGCTCCGCCCAGGCACATATCACATGTCCCGACACAATATTTCTTATTCGTTTAAAGTTACACCATTCCATGGTCTCGTGTTGTATCTCGTGATGGGAGAATTACCGTAAACTACCATCGGCGATTCACCCTTTAACTGTTATCCTCTCATCTGTCAGACATCCCAATAGTCAGACAGGTTAAAACAACAAACCATCTGGTTGAGTGCACAGCTTATCCCCTGCCTGTTACCTCTTAATGAAATAGGACTGGCCCATAAATAAAATAACAGAACATAACTTTATTGAACTCAGGCCGATATCATTGGCATATGAGGTACAAATGACAGTAAATATTGTGGCGGAATAGTAGTTAGCCGGAAGATTTTACAATTTGCATGATATATTTACAGAATTTACTGAGATGAATTTTCATAACATATATCCTTTTACATGTAAAGAGTTATTTAAATTTTAACATATTTGGTCTGATTATAAAGGAAGCTGGTATATACATTGATCTTTCTTTTCTAAAACATTTGCATTTAAGAATATAATGAAACTCATCACCCACATCATTCATACAACATAATTTACATTTTTCTTTCATTTATTGGTATGGTATTCCATCTTCCTTCTTCAACTGGTAAATGGTGGGATGAAGTACGGAAATGGAGTAAGGGGATAACTTTGTTAAACGGTAGGGACGTTAGACAATTTTCAAATTCAAATTGAGATTTCAAAGAGAATGGAATTTTCCACCTCTGAGCCTCTGAGTATTAAGATTACATAAAATAGAATATAAGATTGAAGATAACTAAGATGAATTGTTTGTAAACAATTTAGACCAAAAACGTTAACATATGAGTTTAACATCAACAGAAAGTGGGACTCTACCTAATTCACAATACAGCATATGTAGCGAGGTACATTTCTTCACAGGAATAATAATCTTCTCATAAAACATATATGTACTTTTCAATTTGTTTCAAATTAACATATCCACACATTTCACGACCTGTACAGCAAGATTGGTTTCACCATTGAATCAAAAGAGATATAGTTGTCATGGAATTTGTCGATAAGTATTACCTTACCAGCGCCTTGAGCATCACTAGTGCGTGGTCGTGTGCGTATTTAAAATACTATGATAATAATAATAATTTCAGACTTCTGCGTAAAACAAAATACATGGCTTTAGTAACTTACTGACAGAGATTTGATTAAGATCATTTGAATGAACATTTTCTATCAAAAATAAATCCAAGATATTTATACACAATAACAGTTTCCTTAGGTTCCAACTAACTGGTTGAAATATCCAATTGGGACATTCCCTTTTATATATGGGTGTTGCCCTAATTAATACCTAGTCCAGTGTCTGACATTTGGGATGTCTAACTAATGGGACGTCTAACTAATGGTGAACCCTTTAACTAATACTTGAAGAGTCTTTTAGATTCTGTTACTCCCAGTCATTATGTTCTATGTCCCTTGATTAATTACCAAGCAGTGATAGCATCAATACTATCACGAAATAACCATAATTCTCAATAATGGGTTTGTCATGCTTTTCCTGTTTAAAAGATACATTATATCCTTATAACAGTGGCACTGTGTTTGATATATGCATCAAAAGACAATATGAAGTACTTACAGTATATATGACGAGGACTACAATGATGAGCACCAGAATACCACACACCACAGCAAAAGCTGTCACAATATCCTCACTGTTGCCTGAAACATATGTGTATTGCAATAGTTCAGAAAATACGTGCAGTCTTGAGGACGTCAGCTTGCGTATGTTTCAGTTCACTGTTCCAGTATCAAATTAAGCGTCATGACTTGGAGAATCCTGATTGTGGCCATCGGATGTTGGCTTTGATTATCAGTGCAAAGAATATTAGTGGTATAGCCTGTTCTGTTACTGGGAAACACCGTAGGGACTTCCTCAAGGAATGACCATGACCACACGTACTTTTACATGGTCGCAGCCATCACTTTATTAGCAGGGGACATCACTCTGTCATTGACATACCACTACTAGGATAACCTACATAGCCCACTCATTTTACTCCATTAGTATTATTGTATTATGGTATTTAATATTGAGGTGGTTTTCACACTATATTCATCAAGAGGCGATGTACGGGATCGGATGGTCAACCCTCGCTGACTTAGTTAACACATGTCACTGCATGGCATTTGCATAGATCGATGCTCATTCTGTTTACGGATGTATTGTCAGGTCCAGACTCGATTATTTATAGACCACCGCTATTTAGCTGGAATATTGCTTAGTGGGTTAAACAACAAACAAACAAACCTGACATTCAGAGATTATCATATCTACCACTGTTTGAATTGAATAATACTTGTTTATTTTATTTGGCACATCCTCCGACGCCATCGCCAGCGGTTGAAAGGAAGGTGTCAATCCTGCCGGGTACTATACATGTACCAGGGTTAGTGTAAGTATAACTTGTTACTGTTGTTATGTTGTTATATTGTACTGACAAAAAAGGTGAAACTTTAGAATACTTTAATAAACATGTATAGTTCTAAGTAAGATGTGTGATATTTTAGGTTTTGCTCAGTCCATCATTGATTCTTCTGATATGACTTTAGAAATTTTCACACATTCACTTCAGATTACATATATTGTGAGTAATAATCGAACACGTGCAGCTCGTTCAAATATTATTTACATTAATAATGATAAAAGTCCTGAAAAGACAGAACGTTCAGCATGCAGATCAAACTGAACACTCGAATGTACAATACTGCAAGCTGATGGTTGCTTAAAATTTAATCTATCCTAAGCTTGCGCTGGAAGGCAACGTTTACGAATGTAATTAAAATAAGATTTCGTCTACTAGGTGCTTGTTTGTGTTCGCGCCTATAACATAAAGACTGGATGTATACTGCACATCAAAATTTAGACTCACTAGTGTAAATGTAGCCACTTACTTCAGTCAACTGATCTCAACTAGATTTTGCAAAATATTCTATACAGTTTAAAGGGTACTGTTTACACATGAACTGATGTATTGTCAAAACAAATTCGTAACGTTGAAAAGTTTATTGTCATGAGTTCAATAAAAGATGAAAATCAGTGAAAATTGGCGAATTCTTAACAAAACTTTACACCCAAAACGCAGCTGTTCACATGAACGATATTTGCACATACCTTTCAGCAAGTTGATGCATGATCCTCGTGCAATTCGTCTGCATAATTTCTGCAGTTGGTTCCCCCAAGTTAGTGGAGAAATTCATCTTCGATGTAACCACATGTATATACATAACATATAGTGAGTGTTTTAAGTGAGTCTAAACTTTTGATGGGTACTAGGTGACAACAGTTGACTGTCATTCAGTTATAGTGGTTTGTACTAAAACTCTTCTGGCCAGATGTAGTTCTTACAATATCGACATGGAAACTACCAAACTGCATAGAGGTGTGTGTAGTTACAAGCGACAGACCAATATTGTGTGTACACACCATGAATAATACCTAATTGTGTATACTTACTTGTGTCTGTTATTTGAAACTGCTGTTGATACCATCGTTGACGTGGAAGTCAACTGGGTTGCTATATTCCCTGTCGAACGAGTAGTTTGTCCACGCGTAGATGTAACGGTCGTAAAAGACGCTGCAACGAGAATTGTTATCAGATGTAGTTCCAAGGAAGGTAGATAAATCATATATATGGTAGCTTTTGTTTCTTTCCATTTATGTCATTCAGTTATAGTGGTTTATACTAAAACTCTTCTGGCCAGATGTAGTTCTCACTTTCGGCATGAAACTACTAAACTGCATAGAGTGTGTGTAGTTACAAGCGACAGACCAATATTATTGTGTACACACCGTGAATAATACGTATTCATACTTACTTGTGTCTGTTGTTGAAACTGCTGTTGATACCATCGTTGACGTGGGAGTCAGCTGGGTTGCTATATTCCCTGTTGAATAAGCAGTTCGTCCACGCGTAGATGTAACGGTCGTAAAGACGCTGCAACTTGAGAATTTGTTATCAGATGTAGTTCCAAGGAACGTAGATAAATCCTGTATATGGTAGCTTTGTTTCTTTCCATTTATGTATTATCTTTTCGAGGACATTTTCTAATGTGTTAAATGAACTGGTGCATCCCTGCATGAAAAAGGTGTAGATACATTGTTTAGGCTACTTTAAATGCATTGATGATGCTCCGCAGTGAAAACATGCTCAAATAGCAGTCGACCACACAAGTTAATGAAAATGATCTTCAGCGATGTTCACACACTCACGCAGGCAAAAACACTACAAATACATGTATGGGGGCAAATATCTCTGTAAGCAGCTGAAAACATTTGAAGTATAACGAGGGCCATTAAACGCCAGAGTACACTCACCAATAGTTGTAGATTGTACACGTGTCGTTGTTTCAGTTGTTGGTGTGTCCGAAGTACTTGGACCAGATGCACTCTGTGAACGTGACGGCCGATGTGTTGACGTAGGTGTGGTTGATGCATCCAGTGTTTTTCCGCTGATACTTATGTTCATTTGACCTGAATCTATGAACAAGTTATTGTTACAACAGTCTCTAAGTCCGAGTTACGTGTTTACCGTTAAGAGATACGATTTCTGCAAGTGGTGGGAAATCAGCAGAAAATAGAGCCAATGAAAGGCCATATGTAATTTAGTTAAGGAGGAATAGGACGCAAAATACATTACTGTGAATACAGTACGCTAAATATGATTTTGGCATCAGTGTATTAATTGATTGCTACCTGCAACACGTATCCATACATTTGATCCATCCTGATCATGATTATAGTAGACTATAACTCTTTCGGCAGCTGTTCCAGGTACTACCCTGTTGTACTGGTCAACATTCACGTTTGTCCAGATTTGTCTCCCGTCACCTGAGATGTTAAGCATCCCTGACCTCATCCGCTGTTCCATCAATGCTACTTGTAAATCTGGCCTGTGATCCTAACAACACAGCTGCTTGTCACACCGACACTGTCAGGAAGCCGGGAGAATGGAGGTACACCGACCCGTTTACTGTTGTTGTGACTGGACTACACATGTTCATACTACCTGAAATACAAGGCATATGACAAGTAGGAGAAGGGTGGTATTGACTTTCATTTGAGACATACGTTATGGGTCACATAAGAGAAGAGAGAACTGCTTACACGCACGTTCGATTTTGCTTTACCTTCATGTTGATCAAGGTTGCTATGAAGGAACTAGCAGCTCAAATTCAAGAACCAACGCTCATAAATTACTGTCAATGTTATTGATTTGTATTGTTACCAGGATAAGGATGTTCTGTCCTACTGGCAAGACTAAGGTCAAAATCTAAATTACAGTTGGCATGAACTTCAAAGATAGTCAAAGTAAAACAAATTATTTAAAATTCGCCTATGAATTAGTAGTTGACAGCTTCCTGCGGTCCGTGTTAACTATATATATTGCTGATGACAAAGTTTTTTTTTTTTGTGTTTGTTTGTTTGCTTGTTTGTTTTGTTGTTGTTCTTTTCATATTTCATGGTACAGGGAAACATGTATTGATAAGTTTCATAATAATACAATCACATTATGGTATATGTATACATGTGCAACATATGACTTGACTTGACTGAAAATGTACAATTGGCAGGATTATTTTCCAAGTAATAAATGTAAAGTTGACCAATATTGAAAAAGCAATCGCTCAGTTCCCGTTCATAGGTAAACATATCTTGACATGTCATAGTGACGGACTATTTCATTTTTAAATATTTTAACTTTGGTCTGAAACCATTTACGCTGCATCTATAGATGTACTGTTTGACCATTGAAATGATTTCATTAATAGGATTATTGTTCTTTCCTTTCATTCCCAATATAACGACTTTATTTGTAAATTCCAGTTGTAACTGTACTGAGTTCAACCATGATTCTATTTCTTTCCATAATTTAAAAACAGATTCACATTCCCACAACATATGGTTGATAGTTTCTCTTTCTGTTTCACAAAATGGACATATTGTTGAACCTGTGTATCCAATTTTATACAGTAATTGCCTTGTTGGGAAAATAATGTGAATAATTCTATAGTGCATCCGTTTCAAGTGTATGCTTCGCGTATACCTATTTGCAATAACGTTAAGACATTTCCGGTCATTTTCAGTAAAATCACTCTGTAGAACTCATTTTAAAAAGCTTGGCAACCGAACAAATTTTGAATTCAAGAGGGAGGCGTATAGTTTTGACTCCCAATTATGGTGTAAGTTTTTGGAAACATTAAATGGATAGGTTGGTTCGCATAATTTCTTTTTTAATTTCTTTTATATTCAGTGTTCGAGGACATGTTATAATGGCTCTTTTCATCGATTCATACGTTAAAACATTAGATTTTATTGAAAACGTATCAACAGGGAATTATTGCATTTTGTATAAAGTAACTATCCGTTAGAAAAATTAGAGTCCTGATATTAAATTGACTGGTGTAGAGAAACGTCCATTTGAGGTCATGACCGCTTATTCTTTTTATCCATTTTAGTTTTTGTGAAGATGTACTGACCAGCAATGAAACACCAGTCCATATTTTCATCAAGATGGATTTCTGCATGACAATTGCCAATGAATAAGAATAACATGAAGTCATAGGGCATGTCCAGTTGAAAAAATGTTTTGGAAACGAGTTCCTGTTCACGATATGAATATTAACTCCAAAACGCAACAACATGCATCCACGCCATGGAAAAATTGAATTCCGTTCTGAAATTATGCTGACTGTGACCTTAAAAGCAGTTGTATGAGAACTGATTCTCATTGCTTTACTAACGATTGTGAAACGAGGACAGAGATGCCGGGGAAAACACCTCAGGAAAGAGAATGTGCACTAGGCAGGATTCAGGCTGGCACCAGCAGCAGGGATATTGCTCGACGACTTGGATGTAGCTACTCTACCATCGTTAGGCTTCATAGCAGACAAGCAGCACCCGTGACCTTCCACGACCTTGGCAACAACGTGTCACGACGCCCCGTCAAAATCACCATATTGTCCATGACCATGTTCGTGATGGAACACTGCCGGCTTCCTGGACTGCTGCACTAGTTCAAGGTCGACGTGGGGTCATCGGGCAACACCGTCTACACGCTGCCGGGCTCCATGGCCGACGTTATTACATTTGGACCAATTCTGACTGACAGACACCGTAATGAGCGTATACAATGTGCTAAAATACATGTTCAATGGCGGTTACAACAATGGCATGGTGTAGTATTCATTGACGAGTCACGTTTGCACCAACGTAATGCTGACGGCCGATTATGTGTTTGGCGTAGACGTGGTGAACGTTATGCTGATGAGTGTGTGGTTCAGACAGACCGTTGGGGTGGTGGGAGTGTCATGGTCTGGGATGGAATAAGTTACAATCACATAACTGCCTTCATGTCTGTAAAGAGAGAGTCAATGCCCATTACTACCGTGACCAGATTTTTCAGAATTACGTCGTGCCATTCTTCAATCACCACCCAAGATGTCCATACTTTTCAGTAGGACAACGCACGGGCATACACAGCTAGTCTTTCTATGCAGTATCTAACCCAGCAACATATCCTGGTAATTCACTGGCCAGCACTGTCCCCATATTCATCCTCTATTGTGCACTTGTGAGACGAAATTTGTCAACGTCTTTCTCGGCGACAACACATGCGGAGCATCCGGGAACTTGAGGCTGCACTTCTGAAGGAGTTGAATGCCATCCCCCAGAACACTATTCTTACGCTTGTTGACTCAATGAGGAGACGTTGCACTGCATGTGTTAATGCAAACAGCGGTCACACGCAATATTGACTTTCGATTTGACCCCACATGTGTTTGATCCTTTCTGACTGTGAAACAATTAAATGAATGAGCGTTTTCTCTGTGTTGTTGTTTTTGTCAGTAGTCCATCTGTTATCATCTACTAAAAAACTATCAATTTGCTTACGTGTGCTTTAGTAATCACAACTTGTGTAATTGGTGCGTTTTCAATGCTAGTGAGTATATATATTTTTCTAATATTTGGAGTTTTATACCCCCTTGCTCTGGGTCATCATTAAATCTCTCTTAATCTAATCAGGTTTGTTTTCAGATGAAATTAAAACACTTATTTTGCAGTCTTTCACTGACATATTTTTCAGGATTTGGTAGAGATGAGAATAGATGGTTAAGCTTAGGTAATATAAGTGATTTAAGAACAGTATTTCTTCCATACGCGGCTAAGGTACGAGCTAACTAAATGTTCATTTGCCTTTCAATCTGAGATAGTTTTTCGTTGTAGTTTATTTCAACCATATTATCAAGATCAATATCGAAATGTATTCCAAAAAAAGCGTGAAGTCTGTTTGTGACCAGTCGATATTCTATTCTTTTACACATCTTATATCGGAATCTCCTTTTGGAGCCTATCCATATTAGTTTAGTTTTAACTACGTAGCCTTTTAATCCTGAAAAACAGGCAAATGGTTCTAAAGTATTCAACACTGCATATAGGCTTTCTCCGATCCATCTAATGTAAGAGTTGTATCATCTGCGAACTGTGATAGGCGATATGTTATATTTCAGGTTTAATCCTTTATATTTTTGTTTTTCGTATCGTGATACCCAGCATTTCTACACACAGCAGAATGATGTGTACGGCGCTAATGGGTCCCCTGGCGGCATCCACCACCTATTTTGAAAGGAGTTGACACAAATCCATTTACCAAGACTCTCGATTCAATATCGTTATAGAATGTTTCTATCCAATGTGAGATACTGGGTCCAAAATTAAAAACTTTAATACCTTGCTGAGGTAGTGTCTATCTTTCAAAGTCAGCGAGAAGAAGTAGGCCTGGTATCTGGCAAGTTTCGGTGTATTCCAGTAGGTCATATATAAGTCTAGTTACCTCGCCAATATATCTTCCCGTGACAAAACCCTTTTGGTCTTCATTAATAATACTAGGTAATACCTTTTTAATTCTGTTTTCAATTGCTGCGGCGCCAACTTTGTATTAGGTATTATGTAGGGAGATATGGCGCCAATTGTTCAAAGATTTCTTAGGTGTATTAGTTTTAGGCATGCATGTTAACAATCCCTGTTTTGCGAGATCGATAACTTTCCATTTTTATACCCATAGTTTAATGAATTAAGAACAAATTCGCCTAAATCTTTCCAAAAGAACTTAAGAAATTCTGAAGTAAAACCACCCGATCCTGTTCGTCGCCTCTTATGACAACGTAACACATGTTATAATTTGGATTACACTTTCTCAGTAAAGTACAGATTCTAGTACTTTTGTTAGGTTGTGTCCCATCCCAGATTCGAACCCACACTCTCTGAGTCCAGCACTTAATCGGCAGCACACAAAGTCCAGCCCACTCAGCCACCGCGGCTTCCAAAACTTGTAGTCTAGAGCACGGACTTTTGTGTACCTCTCTGACAAGTGTAGAATTGGCACGGCTCCATCAACCGACAGCTTTGAATACACAATGCCATTAAAAGTGGTCAAATGGTACACATGTACTAGAATCTGAGTGTACTTCACTGAAAAAGTGTAATCCCAAATGTAGCATGCCTTACTTTTGACACGTGGTATTGTGTATTCAGTATTACGACAAGCATGGGTTGCTTATAGAGCAATGGTATTCGGTGTCAAAAATTGAAAGACGTCTACCGGAGGTATAGGTAGATGAATCTTTGGAAAGCTCGGAATCTCTAGTTGAAAGTGCCAGGCAACATGTCATTTTGAGTTGTTTCCATGGTAACCACACGATTTTAGAAAGACCGCTTCTGCTATATATAAATGGCAAAGTCATCACAATTTACCTATATTTAGTCAATGTTCTGAATGTTTCTGATACCACAAGCATTGCTTCTTCAATATATGTAACACGTCAAAGTCACAACAGTCGAATTGTAACTGTTTTGCTCAGAAGTCAATATAATTGTAATCGTGCATTTTTCTCAACTGATGCGTGCATTATACGTACAGGACCATGCATGTCGTATCGTAAGAAACCCCATAGAATGAACTTTCTGAAAATGTAAATTATAGAAAGCATGCCTTATAAGCCGTCTCCATGGTTACTATAATTTTTATGTATTTTTGTTGCATTTTCCTTCACCGAATCTCCATCCACAAGAAGTAGGAGGTGGCAAATCTAGTTGACTAACACGGCTGTGACACCATACAAAAGTCGATATTCATAACAGGTCAATAATATTCAAGCCTGATAGCGTTCTGTAATTATCAGTATATTGTGAGCTGAGTTTACAATAACACGGGTGCTGAGAATGAGGTTAGATGGCATGAGATCAAATGTCGAGATCCAATGTGTGAGAATGACAAACACCTAACGTGACAATGAAAACCTTGATAGAAAACGCAGTATACCATGGTCCGCAATATGGCAAAGAGCTAGTGATCATAATTTACGGAAACAGTAACACAATGCACAAATGACTACTGGGTTTAAATATTGACTCATACATGTAGGTAAAATGAATCATGGACTGACATTATTAAGATCATTCCTTGTTGATGTTGTCAGTTTGATGTATGATGTATGGGTTAAATCACGAGGACCTGGTGTCTAATCGCTGAAATGGTTTCGACCTCGACGTAAGTTATACAAGATCCACGTTAAGTATGTTCCTTGAGTCTTTCACACGTGCTTCTTGTTCTTTGGCATCTCGACTTATGAAATGCATGTGCATATTCCAAGACAATGAAATAATCCACCTGGGACCAGCTCGAGCATATATATGCTTCACCGAGACAAGTACTAGCATCGCCTTCAACGACAGGGTTTGTTTCTATATGTTCGTGTCACACATGCGCAGAATCCAGACAATAACATGACACGTACCAAATCAACCAAATATTTCATAAATTGGGAAGTTATTAGAAAATAAATAGTTCTGGTTACTTTCATGAAGATGTGTTCATGTGGACGAAGATATCGTTCGTAAGCCCACTGGCGACACGTTTTTCGCTAAAAAGATTGCACTTGATGGGGAGGAGAAATATCGTCATTCCTAAGTTGTGTCTTACTAACAGTCAGGTCATGTCCCGCCAACGACCAAAGTTTCCTTTGATACAGTAGTTCTTTACTTCAGCACTGAGCAACATCGGTAATACTGCAGTTGCTATCCGGCTGTGCATCCAGCATCTACACATTCGTTTATGACGTTCATGGTAAATATTTACAATAATATGTCTATAATGGACTCAGTGGCTGATATTAAAGAAATCAGAGTTTATACGTAGATCTACTACAGGTTTGTTCAATGATCACCTTTGATACAGGTATACTATATTGAAGACTAACCTTTGATGCAGCTGTACTTTACTTCAGCTGCAGCATCGGTAATATTGCAGTTGTTGATGGTCTGTACCTGCATGGCTTCATAACATGAATGTTTCCCATTACAACTGACAACCAGGCCAGACTGGCTGCTGCTGAGGAGCTTACTACACGACTGAGCAGATTTCAGAAGACATGTCGCTGCATCTCCATCCCCATACACCTCGTGCACGACATGTATCCATTCACCGGCAGGACACTGAAGCTGTACTGTAAAGACTTTCGTCAAATCCTCTATACATCTGTTTAAAGTCCTGACACCTTTGAATATATTGAAACTCGTTCAGTCAAACACATATGACAAAATATACTTGAATATATTGTTCCAATTGACGGTAAAACCCTATTTGTTTTGAAATATACGAGGAGTTTTTGAAGCAAAGATGTAGTTTCATCTCTAAAGCATGACATCTCTGTGTGACTCAAATAAGAAATTATATATATTGATTAACATTATAATGTTTTGATATATTGTATGAAACGGTGCATGTACAGTATCATTCAGTTCACAAAACTAGTGCATCTATAAGCTGGTAGGTATGGTGAATATTTCACATTGCTTTAACGCTGCAGAAATGTGTAATGTTGTCTTAAATGTGATCAACTATCAGTGTGTATTTGTACACAGTCTGAGTCTAAGTCTGATTTGGATCGTTGTAAGAGGTGTCTCAAAGGTATGTACACCACAGTTAATGTTTAAAATGGCTTGTGAGCTTTAAAAATCCAGCGGCATGAAAGGCTTTTTGACATTTGCACGTCAGTCACAACAAATCACACGTACATAATGCGATATATAAAATCATACGGCAACCGGAATTATGATGAAATAATCACATTACACATACTGAAATACAGATTTCAAAGACACGTTTGTCTGTACCATTACTCACCATATACAGCCAAGAAGAAATGTAGACAGATCACAAACACCCTTTCAACATGCATGGCTGTTAGATCTCCAGTCATCAGAAGTTCAATGCGTGACTTTCTGTACGTCCATGGATGCAGAACATGTCGTCTCTGTTCAGGCATGCCGTTAAACTGTTGGATTCCTATTCAATATGTAGCAACTTGCCTCGTTGAAATTCACGCACATCCGCCATTGAATACACAGGAAATGTAAACAACATTCGTCAATTCATGAGCTAGACTGTTTGTATATAATCACGCTGTCAGGTCGTCTTCGTCTATTTTTGTACCTGTGAATCATTAGGTACTCCAAAACATAAACCCGCTGTCGTATCTACATCACATAGGCAAACAGTAGACTCTATGTAAGTGAATGTGTTAAATAGTCTGTATGAACAAACCCAAAGAAGTTACTGTTATAACCAGCACGATGAAATGTCGAACCGACTAGCGTCAACGAAAAGGTAAAGCTATGTGTAGATAGTTAAATGCACGAGTAAACGTCCTCGAGGACGACCAGGTCTCAGGTAGTATGAACAAGGAAGTGAAATGAGTGTGTTGTGACTATACATATAGAGCATGCTGTGAGTTGCGCGGGTCTATCTTGCCCAAACACACAACGTCACAATAGATTTTGTTTGTTTGCTTCCCCTGATTCAACGAGTTTTTCGTATGGATTTGGACAGTTGCGGGAGTGGGTGGTGATGGGGCGTGATCTGCTTCACGACAGTGAAGTTGTTTTCTTTAATCGTAAAGGTGTATTTCGGTATTTCAAGTGATGCAGACAATCTTCCAACTGCAATTGAAGCTTTGTTAATAGAGAGTTATCTTCCTTCAAGTGTATCATAAGTACCACTCGATCATATACACAATGCAATTGAAGGATGCGGACATTGGCCAAAGGGAAAGCTGGCAGTCTATTTAAGAAGGATATAGAGAAACAATAGTGAGAGTGTTGCATCAAACACCCGTAACTTTGTTAGCTTATGAAATAAAAAATAGTAGAAACAAAAGAAGTAAGGTTTCTAAGATAAACCGCCATGGTTAGGAATGAGAGATATGGTTTCGAGAACAGACAAGCGGTGTGTCTACTTCTACTGTAGTGTTCAGAAATTGCAGATTTGCCGTTGTCAGTCTATATTAAAGACTCAGCCACTTGTTTTGTGTTATTTTATTTTGTCTGTATCAATTACACGCATCAAGTGCTGTATTTACACTCTTTTATCATCTGGTTTATACGAAATGTGAGACATCATATTATATTTGGATAATTTCTTTTGTTTTTTTATGCCAAGGCGGTAAGCCATGAGTTGCATGTCGGTAAAGTAATCGGTTAGGTTTCTCTTCGCACTTGGACTCATATATAAATATATGCCATGGCTATACAGAACATCAACGTTTTCAAGTGAAATATGCTCGATCGAAGACGTTTACACTTGAAATACTGATTTAAGATTATACTTCTTAGAAGCTTAGAAAGGCATCTTCACTAACAGATCTTCCATTTTCAAAGCAATATTTGGTATTTGATCCGTTCAGTCTATAGGATCGTCAGCATTTTTGAAGTTTCGCAGTCATAAAATCTTGAATTTTAACGTACTGATTACTGCCTGCTTACTCACTGCCAGCACTGTAAACAGTAAGCAGTATATAGAATAGAAATTGGTACGAGATGAGTTATAAAAAGTTTTATCAAATAGAAGCTTCTATCAAACCTAATCTCTTTCATGGGTGTGCATACCACTTTTGAATCCCCAGACAACTTCCTGGTCACTATGACCGCGAGCCAACACTTTCCTGGTCACTCGGCTATGTTGATCTCAAGGAAACAATTTAATGTGAATCTCCTATGATTTTCTTTGGTTTCCGTAATGAAGGCTTGTCGGGCTTGTTGTATCCGTGTTCTATGTACTTTTTTCTCGTCTTCTGTGATGACAGTGTTTCTACGAGACTTGGTTTCGAATCTCTTGTTTCTCATTCTGTGATATTTTTGCGGGTTTCAGAGTATTCAGCAGAAAATATCTTCACTCTGAGGAGTTTACTGTCACTGAGTGTGGTGGAAATATGGTTTGCTTATCGTGTTTAACTTTGCTTCAGCTAGAATTAACTTCTGTTTGTGTTTCAACGCTTTACGATGTAACTTGCGGGGTGCAAGCAAACACCTAGCCCACCAACCCTAACCTCCAGCTATGACTTCAATACCTAGTACTTATAGGTGCGGCTACGATGGTGGTTAACGGCCCCATTACCTACGGTATCGGCCCCATCCACGAAATTGAAAGCCCTACGGTATTTCTTACATAATGCTTTCCGTTTGTCGTCTTCTTGTTCTGGTTGGTATTTTTGCATCACATAACTGCCTCGAACCGTAATCCATCTACGGTTTCCAGTGTTTTCGCTACTTCTTCAACGACTGGGCACAGTCCCATCCTGTGTTTGTGTATAATATATTATCAGATAAAATTAATTGGTTTTAGTTAATTTCTTATCAATGTATTTTGAGGCTTATAAGGTTTAGATTTTTCATCCACGGCAATCCCTGTGACATTAAGAAGCATATCTTGGACCAAATACGGACCCCTCGAGGCTTGCTAAGGGGCCGATCCTGAGTTATTACATGACGATACTGCAACGTTGGTAATTGTGCCTGGTTTCCCAGGCTATTACCAACCCGTATATATGGGGTTTGCACTGTTATGAGTGTTCCCGAGATAGAATTCTATGATGAGTGTGGTGTCTGGCCCCATAACCAAAACCCCTGCTGGTAATCGGGTAATTCGGGCGTTAAATATGCCAACTCATCATTTGGAGCTAACATGTTGCCCGAGTGACTCGGTATTCGTATTCGTATATATTATCAATCGGAATGAGAGACGTGAGAATGATATACACACACACGCTTTTACGGGTGGTC